TCAGACAGACAGTCTTGCATGTAACTAAACATCCTCTGCACTAATCCAGACCCTTTACAACACATATCACATTCACAGACTCATTTACAAATTTGCTTTCAACAGAGCTAAACCCACAGAGGCAACTCAAAGGTCACACTTCTTTTCCTTTGTCTTTGTCCTGACCACACAGTCAGACAAACCCTCCCCCAATCTGAAGCCAGCTTTGATTTGGCCATCTTGTATTTCTCTGTTGTCAGCCATTTTGTTTGTAGGCTGAACGGCCCTTTGATTACCACACCCGCCATTGTCTTTCACAAACAAACAAACAAACACCAAGCTTGTATGTAGTTAGTAAGTCAGAATTTGTGTTTTCATTTGCTTTGATTCCTTTATGAATAAATATATTTTTGGAATCATATCTGCTGTCTGTTAATGTCGCACAAGAGTGAATGAATAGTCAACCTCTGCTACGTCAAACTTGCTATCATTTTTCACTTTTCGCGAATGGTGCCCCACGAGGTGATTAAATGTAAATTAAGTCACATTATTTAACATGATTAATAATTATTAATAATATCTCCGGACTATAGCAGCTGCAATGGACGACTGAACGCGATTTTGAAGAGTTTCTTGTTGCGGACACAGACCCAGAGTCATATCTGTTTGAGCCGGAGCATACAGATGAGGAACTTGAATGCTGAGCGGGCGAGAAGAGAGGCTGAATCCTCCGCTCCCATTTTGCTGCACAGAATGGGATTCGGTGCTACCATCGCTGGGGAGATATATCACCAGGAGGAAAAGCACCGCAGAGAGTGCATCACAAGGAGTGAAGTTGCGTCTTCTTTTCCTTGCAGATGACGGTTTGGGTTCATTCTCTCCTGTTGCGTGGTAAGTGTGGTCCATTCGCAAACTTTATAACTAAAAAAACCTTTCACTACTCTCTATCAACGAACTACTAACACTCTCTGCTGTTTCCTCCTCCTCTGTCTTCCTTCCGCTGTCTTCGTTGGTTTATTTATACACGCGAAACGTGTTCTCTGGCTGGCTGGATTGTCCTCTCTCTGTCTCTCGATTCAGATTTGACAATAAACCATGCCAAATATTACACACTGGCCCTTTAAAGTGAGAAACTATTTTTGCACATGCTAAAAGACGCTGTTATGAAAGCTAGGGTCGGCAGAAATCTGGAAGAGGCAAAAAAAGAGTGCCTTCTGCGCTAGGGGGTCCCCCCGGAAGAAAATTTTGAACATTTGACATCTAAATGAATTAATCTGGTGCACTTTGACAGTATCAATCAAGTATCACATCAAGAAGCTAGAATAACAATTTAAAGGTTTTTAATGATGAAATATGAACAGTTCACCAAAAAAGGAAAATTTGGTCATCAGCTACTACAAAATGGTTGGGGCCAGGCAATTTTAGGCAATTCTGAGCAACAAGAGGCAGAATAGGAAGACAACAAGAACATCTGCATTTAAATGTATATTTTACATCAGTTGAGGCTTGAACTCATAACCTTTGACATCAAGGAGCAGCTTCTATCTGACTGAGCTAATTAGCAAGTGACAACTCATCTGTGTGTGGTGAGGGGCACTACAGGGAGAATTAGAAGAAAGCCGGACAAGGCCACCTGAGGACTTACACCCCAGGAAATACTATTTAGGACTTGAATAATGTTGAAAGAATGGATAAGAAGGTTACATTTGAGTTATTTTCCAAATATCTCAAATGTTTTTATAAAGCAACCAGGGACTGGGGCTGCTGGGGAAAAAGGAATGTTAATGAACAAAGGAAAATACTTAAAGCTGGTAAGCGAAATAAAATACCTTTATTACAATTCACTAAAATAAGGCCTCAATATAAAGGTTAAAAAGTCTGTATAAGAACCCAATCAACTTAAATATAACTAAAGAAAACTAAGCAGAGGCCACATGTGGAGAGGCAGACTACACGGAGGAGTGTCCAGGGCGCTACCGCTACTCACCTCAGGTGCAACACAGCAAACCTCACAGCAACCTTTACAGCAATCTTCACAGCAAACAAATGGTGCAGTCTAGGGTGTCCCCGTGCAGTTACTCACATGCATAAAGTGAAGGGATCTCACCACAAGTGCTTAGCCCCCCCCAAAAATATGGCGCTCTGCTCCTGAAAGAAAAAGACTAAATACAAAAGAAAGGTCAGAAACAAATAACCAAATAAACAGGCAAAGGAAATACAATACGGCAACCCAGTAGTCAATTAAACACTTAATGTAATAAAGTAATAGAATAAAGTAATCAAAATAGCCAAAATGAATTAAAGTATTCAAATAACTGGATACAATAACCCAGTAAATTAAACAAAGGACCCAAGCAAATCAGTAAACAAGTTAAGAAATAAAGTAACCAGGAAATAAACCAATGAACAATGTAATATAACCCAGTTGATTGTTAACAGATATTTAAAGAGGATAACCCAGGAAACTGAACCTTAAAGAAAATCAAAGAAAACCCACTAAATTAAACCCTAACAAAACAAGAAAAATAAGGTAACTAAAGGGACTCAATTAATGAACACAAAAGGGGACAAAGCAGCAGTAGGTAGGGCGGGAGAACCTGGAAAAGGGAACAAACTATTAACAAGGCCCAAATTACATTTAAAAATTATTAAAGCTGTGCTCCTACTCACCACCTCTAGCTAGGGCATTAAGTCACTTTCAGGGCAGGGAGCATATAGGGAGTTCCCAAAGTTGCAGCAAACACTCTGAACACAAACATGGGAATTATGAGGGTTTCTTCACTAATCATACCTGGAGCACAGGACACCAGCCACAGCAGAGACAGAGCAGAAGACCAACTGGCTGAACAATGGCACACAGGTGCCTCATATAACCTGGCCTGATTAGGGAGTTGGTTGGGGGAAGGAGTCAGCCTCAGGCTGCGTTCACAATCACCATACACACACACAACACTAAAGAGAGTATTCCCCACCACATGTGCCCCCCCCCCCTTTCTGTATGTGTGAATTGCAACCCCCAACCTGTAGCCATCTCTCTCTCTCTCTCTCTCTCTCTCTCTAGACCAAACTGAACAAATATTTATAGACGGACAAGAAACATCATAATTAAACAGGCTTTTATTTTTTACATTTATTTTATTTTTAAAATTGTCTGGATTCTCTCATCTTTTCTGTGTCCAACTTCCTGTTTGGTACGATCCGCTCTATCCAGCTCGACAGAAGCTTTTCTTAGATTTTCTTAAGCCTGAAAACAGAGCCAAGAGGAGGTGTAGAACTCTAATTTTCCCTCAGACCACTTGAATTACAATATGTTCAAAGGTTATTATGGGATTTTTGCCCAATGAAGCCCAAATTAAACTGCTTATCCTCGCTTTGATGTTAGCAGGAGTATTTTATATGCTGTTCTCCATTGCTTTTCTATATCAAGGTTTTTTATTACTTATTTTAAACAAGGGAATTAATTGCTTGTATTTCTTCTTTCCTAGACTATTAAAGACCTATTTTACCATCTAGGGGAAAACAAAAACAATTGTGCATTTTATGAGAAAAGCATGTAATTTCTAACAAAGTATATACCATTATGTTGATTTTCAGATGTGAAGAAAAGTCAGAGTTTTGTTGTTTTTTTTTAACTTTTTTTTTATTATTACATTTTTGGCATAATGGACATTAACAATATCATTGCACTTGTAAATTGTTATGCTTAGGTAAAAGAAAACAACAAAAATAATTATAAAATAAAGAAACACAGAGAAAAACACATCAACAGTATACCTTGACTAAGTTACTTACAGGTCAACCAGATAATACAGTAAAATCCTCATAATCAAACTATTCACCGTGTAGACACACAACAAGTCTCTCACTAAAATGTGTCATATCCTCACATCCAACCAGCAGGAAGAAAACAATAAATAATGAATAAAATATACATATATACACATACATATAAAAAAAAATAAACATCACTCTGGAACCGCAGGGAAATCAAGCCTCTTAACAAATGAGAAAAAAGGGGCCCATGTAGTGCAAAATTTGTCTGTAGACCCTTTCAATGTGCAACTTATTTTTTCCAACTTTATACATTTTAAAATGGACTTGATCCAAGAAGCATGAGTGGGGGTTGCAGAAGATTTCCATCTAAGCAAAATTACTCGTCTTGCTAATAGAGTAACAAAGGCAATTACATCGTTACTTGCTTTGGAGAGTTGCAGTGTGGCTGAGGGTACCCCAAACAATGCAATAAAGGGGTCTGGTTCAATCTGCAAGCCACTTATTTCTGACAGTGTGTTAAAGATTTCTTTCCAAAAACCAGTCAAAGATGGGCACCTCCAAAACATATGTAGCTGATTTGCAGGGGACTGGGTACATCTTGAACAATTAGGTTCCACATCTTTGTAAATTTTAGACAGTTTCACCCTGATCCAATGAGCCCTATGAATGAGTTTGCATTGGATGAGACCATGCCTAGCACAGATGGAAGAGGTGTGCACCTTTTTAAGTGCCCCTTCCCATAATTCGTCAGATATTACTTCATCCAGCTCCTCCTCCCATGAGGACTTAAAGGAACTTGGGGCAGGATTTGTGAAAAAATACACATGCGTTTCAAGTTTTTTTAATACTAATGGGTGATGAAGCGTTCAAAACCAAAAAGAATGAGGCCAGCCGCGTATCTCTCAGTTGCTTTGAACAGGCTGTGTGCTGCATAATGCGCTGCAATTCGTGGTCCGAATTCCCTGTGCTGTCCTGCTGATGTGACGTCAAATGACGCTGCATGCGCGTCCTTGACGGCTTTCGGCTTGGATACAGGAAGAAGACGAGCGCGGTGGATCCAAACTACTGTTTGGGTAGTAATGGATTCCTCCGCAGCCAGCAAGCGACCCAGCACCACACAAAGCCCACTAAAAAGTGGTACTAAGAAGAAAACAAAGGTTTTATCAGCGGCATCTCGTGAGTCGAAAAGAAATTATGACCAAAGCCGGGCAGGCACCCGAATACACATCGGGTACGCGCTCGAGTCATGGAGGCAGCTTCGACTTGAGTTGGGACTCAAAACAGATGCTGACATGGCTCATTTCCTAGTGATCAGGTAAGAAAACATTATAGGTCATGTTTAGAGCTTGATTTGAAAATCATATGAGATCACCGAAGAGTCAGGGTGACCTAACGTGCAAAGTAGCGTTAGCTGTAAACATGTAACTTAGTCCACAGCTGATTAGCACTGAATGGTTACAGATGGCACATTTTCCACAGCCCTTTAGTCTGAAACCAAATAACATTACCGGTAGTTAGAATTATGTCCCTATATCAGACCAAAAGCCCAAGCTGTTATCCGGGAATTGACATTAGCAGCTGGCTGTAGCCACATGCTAACGGTTTTGTTTGTGTCTGTGTAGTAACATTAGCCGCTTACACACAGCAATCCCAAGACTTTCAGACTGCATCAACCATAATGTTAAAAAGCTAGGGTGGTCGAATCCTTTTTGGAGTGGTGGTGGTGGTGGTGGTGGTCTCAACTCATCGAAAGAGCTTTTAGAATTTATTTGTCTAAATTTGACCTGTGTTGTACCTTCCACACAAGATTTTTCCAGCCATTATACATTATGTATAGTAGAAGAAAATGTTTGTAAAAGTGACACACAAAATTACCGAATTACTGACTGAGATATGTATTTTGATATTATTATTGTTGCAGGCAAAATTATTTAGCCATAGTTGTTCTGTCCAAACAGAAAAGAGACGAAGGTAGCAAAGTCACAGCCAGCTTGTTGACATATGCGTGCTGACTCAGAATGTAAAATTTTAAAATATTGATGTTTTCCAGCTACCAGAAGAAGTAACCTCCTGAAGCAGCTACTCGGGGAAGTAGGGAGATGAGAGCCTCAACACCCAGCAAGCGAACAGCTTATCCCCAATCGAACCAGTGTCTGAGGGGTTAGTATGTTTTCAGTTTGACAAAACATTGAAAAATATTAGAATATAAAATAACATGATGTGCTGACATTACATTACACATTGTAATTATGTATTTAGCCACACTTCACAGCTACACACACACACACACACACACACACACACACACACACACCACTGATTAGACTGGTTACATTATCTTGACAGGGAAGATATTCTAATGGCTGGTGTTGAGGCAATGGCTGAGGACCAAGCTTTGGATCCTTTGGAAGAAAGGTAAATGTGTTCATGACAAATGTTATAGTACATTTATTCATTTTTTTTTAAATTTATAATCCAGGGCAGATTTGTGGTATTTACTGAGTGAGTTTATGGGAGATGGATTTTGCTCCATATTTGCTTTGTAGTAGAAGTACCAGTACTAGTCTTTACGTATAACATACATACTTCTGTTGTCTGTAGTTTCAAATCCATGGATCTTGCGATGGATGCTGTTATAGTGGATGAGGAACAAGCAAACAGCTTACTCAACAGTGTGTGAGTTGAAAAATTCTCAAAATCTCCATATCTTTTAATCTCCAATGACTACTTTATTGCACATCCATGTTTATCTTTTTGTTTTTCAATTACAGAATTGAACTAGATGTAAATGGTTCAAATCCAATGGACAGTGATTACGTGCCACCCATCTGTGTACGGTATGTATCTCTCGGTAGTAGACCCTACGATGATCTGTTTCCTCAAGCTTGTGGGGGGGTGAAGCAGTCCTATTGGTAACGAGTTTCATCTGTATTTAACATGTATAGATGTATTATGTTGATACTCATGAATATGAATTATATAATTACATCATAAAGAGACTTTACACATTTTTTTCCTGTCACACAGAGCTGCTGGTGGTTTACAGAGTGCGATTGATGCTCTACCCATTGTTGGGCTTGATGAATCTGTCATTGACATTCTTAACCACGATGACAAAACAGATGAAGACCCTGACAAGACCCTGAGTCGGAGAAAGACAATGATGTGCCCTCCTTCCCCGGTCCAGAGAAGGTCTCCGTTGAAGATAACCTAGTTGACCAGCCTGCATGTATCGCCTTCAACAGCAGCTTGGCAAGAATGGTCAATTTCCTCCAGCTACCCATCAAAAAATGTTACTATAGGGAAGACCAGATGGGTACAGAATGTGATGCCACTCCACCGTTTCAGGTCAAATTCCTGAAAAGGGGAAGTGCTACCATTATCGAGTGGGTGAGTTGACATTCCAAAAGTTATCAATTTTGTTCTCTACACAAAATTAAACACAGAACACCGAGTTTACATTGGTCAGGTTAGTCTTTGAATGAAAAATAAAGGAAAAATGGGGCCATGGAAGTCTCAGAATTTACAGAGGATCACAAAGAGCTAGAATGTAGCCTACAAAGAGATTTGAGTTTGAGCTTGAGATCTGACTTTGGATTTACTTGGCAGATAAGCTTCTAAATATGAATGTCATTTGGCTGCGGACCCCTATTCACAATGAGTTACTGCTTATATAGACATCAGATTAGATTGCAAATAACACTTGGTAATTGTCCTGCTACAAATCAACATGGGGAGGACTTCATGGTCGCCACAAACATACTCCTCTCTGGCAATAACTTTTCAAAGATTGCCCTCTTCTTCCGGTATATGAATATCGGCGTAGTGTCTCAAAAATCATTCTGACTAATGCAGAGCCATTACTTCATTGACTCTATAAAAGAGTTTTGGGAGAAGAAGAGAGCTGCCATCATTGACCGCTTGCGTGCAAAGGACAGTGTTGTTGCCCTAGGTAAGTATGGAACTGCATTGTACATAACAGCAGCATACATTATTTATCTTTGCAAAATCAATTTGGCAAAACCTATGAGAGAAAAAACAACTGGACATATCTTCTCACTGTCCCTGAGAAACGATTGTTTCCCAGCTTTTGTAAGGTATTACTCTATTCAACATATGTCTGTGTAACATTAGTGTAAAGTAAAATATAAATGCTAATACACTTCCAGGATATGTAATGGCCCTGGTTTAAGCTGCAAAGGTCATAATTTGCTTGCTTTTATCTGTTTCAGCTGATGGAAGGATGGACTCCCCAGGTAAGTATTCTATTTATCAAATTTGTGTAAACACATTTTCTGCAAGCAAAAATGATTTTCATATTATAACAACTCATTTATATCTACAGGACACACTGCCCAGTACTGCACTTATACCACTATGGAAAATGAGTCCAAGGACATCATCAGTGTTGTCACTGTGGACAAGAGACTAACCAACCGTAACAGTGTGATCATGGAGAAGCATGCCTTCATACAGACGTTTGACAGCCTTTTGGAGAACCTGAACATCACCGAGATTGTCACTGATGCACACATGCAGATTGCAGCACTGATGGGTGAGTATATTTATTACAAAGATTATTAGACACTTGCACGACTGGTTATGGAGACTGTCACTGCTCATCTCTGAATAACAATTGCCAAAATTATAACAACGTAATAATCGAATATTGTGAACAAGCCTTACTACGTCTTTGTTTATTGCAGATCCTAAGAAAAGGAGATACAAAGACAAAGGTGTACTACATTCATTGGACATATGGCATGCGGCCAAAAATTTGACCAAGAAACTTCATGCTGTAAATATACTATAAGTGGATGTTACTGTTTTTACTTTTTGTGAATATTAATGAAAAAACATTTTTTGTTGTTGTCTTATTTCCTTTTTTGATTCACAGGCTGGGATTCAAAAGGGTCATTCCATCATACTTGTGTGGCAGAGGGACATCGTCAACCAATTTTGGTATATTTGCCAGAAAGCCGAACATCGTGATATGTTCAATGTAAGTAGTGTGACAACATTTCGACAACACAACAACAATACATGTTGAAATAATTATCTTTCTGCTCGGATGATTGCTACCCTACTTGCTTCTAGTGGTGGAGGAGCGTTTCTGTCACATGACAAATGTTTTTCTTCTCAAAATTGTATTTTGTTGTAGGATATGTGGGCAGGGGTGCTTCATCATGTCACAGGGAAGCATTAATGGACCCATGGCAAATGTGACCATGGACCACTTGATGAGGCAACCCGTGATAAAGAGCTCATGGTGCCAGGCTCTGCACCACATGAGGCTCTTCAACGAGTCATGTTCAACAGATGCTGGTTGAAGGATGTCGCTAAGTATCTGACCTTTCAGTAAATTAACATTGTTTCCATTAGCAGAACAGTTATAGTATCAATATGAAACCTGGCACATTACAAATAATAAAATGGGAATGTAAAAAAAATCATAAAAATATTCCTCAAAAGTTTTAGCTGTGTTTTACATTACAGGTCAACTTCGGAACTTGAGAGTTTCCAGAATTGCATTCTCATGTATGCTGGAAAAAGGTAATTTGATTTTTATTTGATTATTCACTCTTTATTATAATTACTTATTGAAAATATTGAGTTATCCTGGTCCCATACAAATGAAAAGAGATGTTTCAAGCGAGTCTTATGCCCAAGAGGATGGAGTCCCTTGCAGATTTTATTTGGTTAAACTTTTTTACCTGTTTGCCTTCTCTCCTCCTGTCTATGAAGCAAGGTGCCTTCTCACTGCATTAGACTACAACCACCACAACCATCGACCAGATTACATCTGCCGGAGTAACAAGAAATCGTAAGTCTCACATTTTATTTATCTTGAAGACAACTGAACATGATCTGTACTACAAAATAACTTGTCAAATGTGCTGATTTAGTATAATCTGTCACTACATAAATTATTGGGCTGTACTGTTGGTTGACAGAAAAGGTAAGGGAGAGTGGGGGACATGCAGTAAATCTTTAAACTGTTGTCTTTTAGATACAAGAGACTGTACAGCAAGAAGTCACACAATTACCGTGTCCAAGCGGTAAAGGTTGCAAAGGACTATGGCTACATCCCTGAGCTGCAGCGTTGCATCCTAATAAAGCGTATGGATGGAGGGGCGCTCCCAAGAAAAGCAAAACGCTGGCTGGGTGACCCAAGGCATCTTGGAAATCTTGCAGGAGTTGTGCCCCCCCAACGGCAGAAATGGTCCAGACATAGATTCGCAGAGGACAGGTATGTCATTCACCTACATCCCACATTTCATATCTGATCAATTTCAAATAATGTTTGTTATTGTTGTGCAGGTCAAGTCAAAACATACCTCTTTGAAATAAAAAAATAGAAGTCAGTCTCACAAGTCATTCTCTGTAATGCCAAGGTCGAGTTGAAAATAACAATTACCAGATTTGATTATGGAGCATTGGTATATGTTCTAACGCTACTGTTCTCTTCTCTCCATAAAGGCCTCAGCTACATGAAGCAAGAAAAGAGAGAAGACAAGACCTGCTTATTTTCCAAACATTTTTTATTAGGAAAAAAAGGAAAGGCATCACCTGCACTGCAGTGAAGAGTTTGTGTGCGCTCCCGTGCCGGCTTCGCCGGTGGCTGCAGTTACCCGCAGCAGTCGTCGTGTCATTAGTTTGTCTCATTTCTTGATCCTGCCCCAAGTTCCTTTAATAATGTTTAGTGAGGTGGTTTGTAAAGAGCATATATATAGATTATTGTCAAGGAGCCTTTCAGAGTAGGAAGTGGAGTAAGAAAGGTATCAAACTGTGTTTTGTCAGGAAGGGTGGGAAATCGGGGATCTAAGCTGTGAACATAGTTACGGATTTGAAAGTACCTGAATCGATGGTGCCTGGGGAGACCAAATTCAATTGATAATTGCCCGAATGAAGCAAATATATTGTCCACATAAAGGTCTTTAAACCTCTTAATACCAAGATTAGACCATATTGAAAAGGAGGTATCAGCTATGGATGGTAGAAAAGCTGGGTTGGAGGCTACCGGAGCAAAGAAAGAAGTTGCCTGAAATCCAAAATGTCTCCTAAATTGATTCCATATCTTCAATGTTGTTTTAACACACACATTTTTAGTGTAGGAGGAGAAAGGGCCTGTCATGGGGGAATGAGCAAGGGACAATAGCGATGCCGGTGAAGCTTCCATCTCCAGCCAAATTGGGGATGGAGACAACTCTTTATGCCGCAACCAGTACTGAATGATCCTAAGGTTAGTGGCCCAATAATACGATCTGAGATCTAGTAGCGCTAAGCCTCCATCTGACTTGAGTCTCTGCAAGAACTGTTTACGCATTCTAGGAGTCTCCTTGTCCCATATAAACGATAGAATCAAGCTGTCAACTTTTTAAAAAAAAATGTATTTGGAAGAAACATTGGCAGGCACTGAAAGAGATACAAAAATCTAGGGAGAGTGTTCATTATAATAGAGGCGGCTAAAGAGAGGTGTAGCAGAGACCAGCATTCTAAATCTTCCTTTGTGCGGGTTAGAAGTAAACTGAAGTTGGCCTTGAAAAGGTTTTCAAATCTATTAGTGACATGTATACCAAGATAAACAAAACTACCATTTGTGATTTTGAATGAAAGAAAATGTAAAGGGAAACTCTTTGCAGCTGCATTGAGCGGCATCAGCTCACTTTTACTGAGATTAAGTTTATACCCTGACAAGCAACTGAATGACGTAAAAGTAGCAAGGGCAGCTGGAACAGAAACAGCAAAATCAGATATATATAATAATAAATCATCTGCGTATAGAGACAATTTGTACTCCTGTCCATATCTGACTATGCCTTTGATACGTGGGTTAGAGCGAAGTGCTATTGCAAGGGGTTCTATAGAGAGATCTAACAACAGAGGACTTATAGGACAACCTTGGTGTGTCAACCATTGTAAAGAGAAATATCCTGAATGAGTGCTGTTAGTCCTGACACAGGCTAGAGGGGATGAATACAGAAGTTTTAGCCAGGTAATGAACTTGGAACCAAAGCCGAATTTATGTAGGGTATAAAAAAGATATTTCCACTCCACGCAGTCAAACGCCTTTTCAGCATCTAAGGATATAATTGCCTCAGAGGTGCCTGTGGTAGAAGGGTTATATATAACATTAAACAGTCGCCGAAGGTTATAGAAAGAGTGTCTGTTTTTAATAAATCCTGTTTGATCAGGAGATATAATTGATGGGAGAACGGCTTCCAGCTGCATTGCCAAAAGCTTCACTAAAATTTTGTAATCAACGTTTAATAAGCTAATCGGGCGGTATGATGTACAGTCAAGAGGATCTTTGTTTTTTTAAGAATAAGGGAGATAGTTGCCTGTGTAAGTGTTGGTGGGAGAATTTCATTAGCAAATGCTTCATTGTACATTTCTAATAGAATAGGGGCTAATTTAGGAAAAGCTTTTTATAAAACTCTACAGGGTAACTGTCAGGCCCTGGGCTCTTACCGGATTGAAGAGATTTGACTGCTATAGATAATTCTTCAACAGTGATCGGCTCCTCCAATTTTTCAACCAAATCACGACTGACCACAGGCACATCAAGGGAGTGGAAGAAATTATCCAGGTCTGATGTATCTGGTTGATATTTGGAAGTATATAAAGACTGATAGAATCTGCTGAACTCATCATTGATCCCCCTAGGATCTAATGTTATTGTCCCTGCCGATGTACAGATTTTAGAGATCTGATGTGATGATGAAGATTGGCGTAACTTGTGGGCCAGCAATCTACCGGCTTTATCTCCTTGCTCATAGTAGGTGCTCATAGACTTGAAAAGTAGTTCTGTATGCTGATCAGTTAGTATCGTGTCGAATTCTGCTTGCAAAGTCAAATGCTCCTTATAAATATCTGGAGAAGGTGAAACAGAATAAATGTCATCTAATTGAATGCAGTATAGGAAATAATTTCACCCCTGACGTAAGCCTTCAAGGTTTCCCAGAAAGTGGACATAGAGATATTTGGAGTTCTATTTGTGCTTATAAAAAAGTCTATTTGACCTGCAACAACGTTGACAAAACTTTCTGTACTGAGCAGTTGAACATTTAGTCACCATGGTGGTCGCAAATTATCAAAATTTTGAAAAGTTACTTCCATTGTAACAGGGGCGTGGTCAGAAATAACAATTGAATTATATGAACATGAAGATATGGAATGAAGAAGAAGAAGTCTGAAGAAGTCTGTCATCTATAAGGAAGTAATCTATACGCGTAGAAATATGGTGAACTGATGAAAAAAAGGAATATGCTTTCCCAGTTGGATTAAAAATTCTCCAGGGGTCAGAAACCGCAAATTCAGACATAAAGGATCGGATTCTGGCTTAAGTTGACAAAGTGGCAGGTTTAGTGGAAGATCGATCAAGATGAGGGTCCAACCAGCAGTTAAAATCACCACCTAAAATCAAGATG